GGAAAGGAAAATCCTGCTCAGCTCTTCGCGACAACCTGCGACTTTTAAGTTTGACCCCGAAAATTATTCCCTGTCCTCCTGACGCCAAACTGTATTTACAAACTCAAGATTCAAATCTGCCTCGTCTCTCGTCCTGCCAAGGAAAGTTCTCTCCCCACTGCGTCACGGCAGCCTGCTGCTTCCACGTCCGAGTCCAACTCCAACACTGTCTGCTCTGACATGCATGAGGTAACTCCAGGCTGATCCTTCGGCCTGTGCTCTGTTGGCCATTACTTCATTCAGCTCTTACAATAAACAACGAAAGGACATAATGTGCCATGTGGTTTCCAACCCTCTGAAGCCCAAAAGGAAAAGCGGGAAGTATTATTAGCGGCTTCGTTCCAAGACCTTGCATAAAAATTTTAATTTCCTTCCTCGACCTTAATTATTGAGCTGAACTCGTTCACTACAGACGCCTCTCATTCCTGGTTAATGTGTCTCTGAGGACATTTTTCTCTCCCTTTCTCCCAGTCAAGACTTTCTGATGTTTCATCCTTCCTCTAGAGAGAAAGTATCCGTTATCTTCCCTTGTCTACATGCCTCATTATTTGTACACTGCACATTATGCACAGAAAGAGAATGTCAAAGTTTAAAGATTCTTCAAGGAGCCTAAAGAGCAGCTGATCAAAACGTCGGCTTGTACAAAGAAATTCCAAGTAGTTTAAGAGGTTTTTGCACGATGCAATATGAGGAAGTATTGCAGCAGGAGATGAATCTGTTAGCATGTGTACATCTTGTGATCAATGTTTGACATTAGAAAACAGAGTTTATCTGTGCTTCAGATCGTGTTTGCTGCGTACGTTTTTCTGTCGTTATATGTGCAACAGAGTCGTTCTGGACATTGCTAAAGTAGTTATTAAGAAAAGATTAATTTTAAGGGAGAAGTAACATTTAATAGACCACAGATAGTTACCACACTTTGTACAATGTCATCCCACAGGACCGTTATAGTAATGAAATAATCAATTTGATTCAGAGTCAAAATATTCCAAAATGATTGGGAACAAATGAATCTGCTGCACAGAAAGTTACCCAACGTCCAGATGCAGGTTTTGGACAGGTCCAGTTTAGCGAGGACTGTGCTTAAAAAAACAAAAACTAAACAAACAAAAAACCCCAGATCAAAATCAGTAAAAGAAAAGGACATTTCTTGTATCAAGAGTTTATTTGCTTGAACGCCATGCACAGTTCTGCCGATGTCAAAGTCCAACGGTCCAGTCAGAGAGGTTGCAGCTGAGAAAAAAAAAAAAGGTTTAAAAGATGGAGGTGGTTATGAAGCCCGTATGTACACCCATATAGAGCTTTTCCATCCAGTGACAGGGAATCTGCACTCGTTTTGTTCTGTAATTTATTGAGAATTACAATCAGATCTTAAACCTCCATATTATACATCGCATAAAGATTTTACAAAGGCATTAGATCATTTCTGAAACTGTAGCATTAATGTTTGTCTTTTATTACAAGACTGTACATAAAATGCGAGGCCTTCATGGGCTTTGGCTTAAGTTTGCGATTGGTCATGTACAGTTTAAGATACAGCGAATAATAGGTAGCAGTCCAATAAATGATCATCACACAACTTCTACTGAACTACAGTAATTGGATATTTTCCTTTACAAATGAATATGAGATCAAATCAACCAAAAAAAAAAAAAAAAAAAAAAATTAAAAAGGTGAACAGGAGAGACAAAGCTCAGGGGGTTAAAAAAA